ACATCGGTCAAGATTACTTATCGTTTTTTTATCCGTAGCTGAACCAATCCTAAACGGATTGGAATATCTTAGCGGTTAGACCATTGATCATGCGTCCTCGAGAGGACGGAGCATTGCCCCCACAGGGCCGAAGATCGATGGCCAACAATTCCTTCCTACTTTGCAAAAGGTGTCTCAAAAATGTTCCCTATCCTCAAAAATGTTTTCCCTAAATATCCCATCTATCCTATCGATATCACTTCCCGCCTCTCCAACCCACGTTCTATGCCCCAGTACAGCTACCGTCTTCTCTGTATATGTACCCTATTGTGATTGCGGAGGCTGCGGTATGTCGGGTCCAGAGGTCTCTGTTGAGCGACCGTTTAGTATACGCTGTTTTAATAGAATCAGGGGGGGTAATGAGCCGCGGGTGACGACTCAATACCTTGCAGTAGTCTATCTGCGATGCTGCGCAAGGTACGAGACACGCTGCGTTCCAGGCAGCAACACAGCAACCCAGCACGCGCAATTCATTACTTACTTTGCGGAATAATATTCGAACGGATCTTCCACGACCTTGTATGCATACCCGCTCCCCCCCTGGAAGTTTAAAATATTTCTCCAAATCAACAGCGGAGGAACATGCTCACCTCACAACAAACAGCAGTACCTCCAACAGCAGTATTTGTACTGACACAGACACAAATGAACACGAATGCACTTGTAGTGCTGCTGCTTTGTTGTGTAATGGCAATGGCTCCAATCTATCTTGCTTCTATTCGGCAGCGCATATGCATGTGGGACAAACGCCCATTGGGATGGCGCTGTGCACCAAAAAGGCTCTTCTTTTTTGCCCCTTCGGCACACCAGTTTTGTTTCCAGGTGACCCCTCTTGACACACGAATGTAACCAGAATAACAAATGTATCCACCACGAGCTGTGTCCATGTTCCGTCTTGTGTGGAGAGTAACACCGACGAGGAGGTTGTGGTACGCTCAGACACGCGAAGGTTTGGCTCAGCCTGCAAACCAACGCCGCGTCTGTCTCTGCTCGGATAATCAGAGTTCGTTCGTAGTTTTTTTGCCCCAGGCGCCACCAGGCGCAAAGGTTTCGTTTTCCGATGATCCCTCTCCCCGCACGCCAAAGCAACAGCAGTGGTGATGATATCCGCCACGAGCTGTGTGTGTGGCTCCCTCGCCAATGCGGTCTTACCCCCCCAGCGTTGTTGCGTGTTTAGCTTACTGGGTGCTTCCTCTATGTCCCGGGTTGGAAACCGAGCAACTAACTGCTCTCTTGTGTGTGTGTAGGAGATCTCCGCTTTTTGTGTGTTCCTGTACCTCTCGTCCACTCCCGGGGACGTTTCGATGATTTTGGTAACAAACACGTCTTAAGCACAGCCATCTGTTGCTCTAATTAGATTCCTCCTCACAATCCAGCACATCGTGAATCGGTGCTCTATAGACCCCGTTCACGTCAAATAAAGGGATAACGTTATGACGTACCATTCCCCGGGAGGTTTTGCGGAACGGTCGCTCTACAGCGCGATGGTTGAAAGAGCCCGATGTTTAGAGCCTTTTTTCCATCCTGAGGATGAAGGGAAAAAATATCGCGCTTCGCGCTCCGCGGCTCATTATCAACACGCTGCTCTCATGTGTCGGGTTGAATCCACCAAGAAAAAAAAATGCGGTGTACTCTGAATGAGGCCCTCCGCGTAGAAGCGACAACAAGAACCCCGTATATCGTACGGATATGCCTGCGCGAAATACGAACTGTGCAAATGAGAACAGGTGCGCACTTTGAGGCAGCCAATCAGCATCGAGCCTCGGCCAAGATAAACGGTTCTCAAGTGTGGGCGCCATCTGAATCTGCCGTTGATCTTTGTAGGATTGCGGGCCTTTCGGGTCCATACTATTTCAGTACACATTTCCCACAGTAAGTTAGCCTATGACCACGGGAGTCGACCGCGTCAAGTGTTAAGATCAGTACAGATAAAGGGAGGTAGATAGACAGGTCGGAACTGCTGAAGACAACAACAAAAACAAAAACAACAAGAGTGTGTACAACAACCAGAGTGTGCGGCTCGTAGGAAGTCAACTACAGACAACTTCATTTCGTCCCTACACAGAGTCTGACTTGACAGGATTATACTAAATAGATAGAGCGGGGTAACGAGCCGCGGGGTACCCGACTCAAACCTTGCGGTAGTCAAAATCTGTCATTCCGATGTAGGAATGCCCACACGCAGCAGAGTGAGTCTGTGTAGTGCAGCTACAATATGCATACGTACACCAAGGACAGGAGTGCGACGGGCGCGACGAGGTGCTTGTATGTACAGCCCCCGTTCAAAATAATGCATTTCACATGCGGCAGAATCTTTTTCTGACCATGCGACACACCACACACCACGAGAACCAAAAATGAAGTCCTCCCGCTCTGTGGAGGCAAACACGCACATCGGGAAGAGGCACGAGTGCGGCCTATACCGGGCGGTGAAGGTATCACACGTCACACCGCCGAAGAGCACCAGCAGCACAGACATGGGATTGTGACCAGTGTGACCTACAGATGCATCACAGGTGACACACAACTTCCCCGGCACATTCGACTCAAGCCTGTCGAATTTCCCTCGAAGTGAAAGCAAGCAGTCTACATCACTACCACTTTTTGCACAACAAAAACCCGTTGATGGCCATGAATATTTGACGCGAGAGACCCAGCAGCAGGAACACCAGGCAGCACAGACGGCTTTGCGAAGAAAGTCAGTAGTAGCGCGGCGCCAGGTACGCAACGTTATCCGATCCCAGGCAACCACCCTGATAACGCCCAGCAGTAGACCCTCACGCCCTCGGAGGTTTTTCTCGATGGTAGGTGTGCCTTGGGTTTGGGAAGGTGCGTATTTTCTTGTGTGTGAGAGATTTCATCAAATTTGCTGTTTGATTGAGCAGTCAGTTGGACCTACTCAACATCAGTAAACACCGGCCAGATTACACGTGGCGCATGACGACACCCACGGCGCTCAGGTCGTAAAGACTCAGCCCCTCCTGGTGTTCGTTGCTGGCGTCGGATCAGCGTCCCCGCGGTGATCCGTTTTTGCTAGTGTTGCGCCTCTTTCTCTCTGTATCTTCTCCTGGTTTAAATCGCGCGCGCGTGAGATCTCCGCTTTTGTGTTCCCCTTAACGTGGGAAAAACCAGCGGATGGCGAGAGCAATCTCGTACCAATTTAGGGCAGAAAGGCCTGCGTACACGGCCATCTGTTGTCGGAGCACGGGCAAACCAGTGTGATGAGGAATGCCCTATTTTTCTTCCAAACAGAAGCCAACAGATTGTCAATCGATGCCCTACAGGTCTTGGTTGGGTGGAAAAGGAGGGTATTATAAAAGCTACGAATGTCTGCTAGCTAGGTCCAACCTTCGATGTGGCTAGCTGCTGCCCTCCTATGCCACGTGACCCTCTGACGCGGGCTGCATGTTACACACTATGCTTTCCTCAACACGTGGCCCTTGGGTCCAGTGGACACGCATCTATCAAACTCTTCCTGCAGGAGAGGCGAGGCAGCAGAATGAGAACTCCGTGAGACCTTTTTCTTGACCCCAGAAAACCGAACCAACTACATACGTAGATCTGGGAGATGTTCCGAATTCTTCCGTGCACAATAAACTATAGTTTATTCGATCTTCGGCAACAATCTGTGATGTATTTAGGGCCCCCAGAGATCAAATTTGGGGCACCTGCATATTAGTACAGCCCTTTTTTCCCTATGAAGGGAAAAAAGGTCACGCTTCGGGCTCCGGGCTCCGCGGTTCATTAACGGAAGATCGCGAATCATCTCAATATTGCCCTCACAGGGGCGATAGCGTGTCGAGGGACTGGGTAGACTGGGTTGTGTGCGACAGGATTAGTACGCGAGGTTAGCGCTGCTGAGTCTACCATCGCTATGGATAAGACGCCTTGAGGTAACTGACACTGGCGACGGTGCCTTGTTGTATGAACATCGCGCAATTGTACGGCTCTTTGGGTGGGGGCGTGGCCTAGACCATAAAAATCGAGACAAAAACATGACTTCGTGTGTTCAACGGAAGGCTAAAACTAAGCGGACAGCAATTCTAACATGCATTGGCCAAAGAGAAGAATATCCATCGTCGTGCAGGTTTGTTTCGAAGGCTTGGACTCCCGTCCAGGCCTGGATTTAGCATCCTAGACATAGGCAATGCCTCTTTTCCGAACGTGCCATCCGCTGCCAACCTACGGTGCGACCGCCAAACCACTTCATTACTATCGACTCTAAGGCAATAGTTCCGGGCTGTGCCACAATCTGATCCCTCTGCGGACATGGGGTAAGGAACTTGGCTCCGGAATGTCGCCGTACTCGTCTTGTGCGATAGTAACGGACTGAGCCATGACGAAAAAATTTATCAACCGTGGCTAATTATGACAAGACACAAATGGTGTTCTTGCTGTCCTCCGGAAATTCCAGGACGTGGGCAGATTGGCAGGTGCAACGCTGTCACGTGAATCTCGTGGTGATCGGTGGGGGCACATCCACTTTGGTTGCCACAGTGTCCAACGACGCAGTTTTCTGTCGTCAATATGTCATTATGCAACCCAGTGTCTACTTGGTTGATATGTTTTAATCTTTTCGGCTACCATAGGGAACATGTAGTGCCAATAAACTTTACTGCATCGGCAGAGTGTGCGGTGTGTGTGTTCCTTCTGTGTTTGCCGGTTCAATGATTGTGTACACTGGCATCGGTGTGAACCCGTCGACACAAATAACGGAATTAAACCGCTGCGCTCATTGCAGCTCAATCACCGTCCCGGAAACTCATATAGCACGTAGCCTCGCGCTAGAAGTAGGGATTCCCCAAACGTACCATGAAATGTGCGACAACTCCAAAACGACACGGTTATCTAACTGAAGCGAATGTATATATTTATGGCTATACAATAGACAAAATATCCAATTCAATCGGGATGCAACAAATTTCATTTGTCATCGCCTACAGGGTTGGCAAACCGCGCACCTGAGTCTGGAAGGAGTGTATCTTGCCCATCGTTGTCGCCCGCACGCTGCCACTCAGATTGATCTCAAGTGGGGCCCCGGGGGCAATGAACCTGCCGATGAATCAGGGCCCATTTGACAAGGTTGTCGCTAAAGACATTGATACACACATGCGTAATACGCCCGAAGAAAAGTATCGACGCTTCACACGCTTGAGGCCAACAACCTGCTTCTCGTTTACGGTTGCGCGCCGTTGATCTAGGGCCGACAAGTGACGGTCGAGAAAAAGAGACAATCATTCAGTTGAGAAGGGGCGTAGCCTTCGATTCCCCAGACAATCACCAGTCACAGCAGACGATCGCTGCAGCTTACCTACATTCCGATGTCGCAGAATTGAACGACGGCCCGTCAACAGTGCTACACGGTACTGAATGGTCTGCGTGGCCGTGTGTACGACATGCAAAGCGCCCAGGTCAGGTTCCCTCTGAAATTGAAACGATTCTAGCTCCTTGCACCAGACGGCTTGCGCCTACTGTGAAGGTAGGGCATGTGTGAAAAAGTCTGCGTGCACGATTGACATCTTCTTCTCGCTCAACTATTAGAGTACAAGCTGGTTCACGGTAAACGCCCAATTTAAGTCACCAGCAAACGTTCCCGTTCTTTCGAGTTCGACCCTCGATTTTCGCACAGATGTTAACTGTTGTACAACCTTGCCAAACTTTCGATTAACCCTTATGTGACTACACCCACGAATGAGCTCTATTCCCGTCTGCAATTACTTTGTCTACCGAAAGATGGCCGGTGTGCCTCGCTCAAGAGAGTAAAGCATAACATAAGAGATCAGCAGGGACACCAAGAGGCAGCCCACCCCGAAAGCACGCATATTAGCAATGCGCGCAGGAGTGCACACAGACCGTGCCAAATCGGTCTGATGCGAGGCAGATATCCTTTCCAGGTCCAGTCAATGTACTGCCTACACATCCAAGATCCAATTCGTCTGCTGTGTGCATGTTTTCCGTCAAGGGAGAGGGTTTTCACGACTACACCTCCGATCACAGATCTCTATTTTTAGTACATAAAATGTATCGTGATTTTTATGCATTTTGTGCGATAGTAGATGGTGGTCCGAATTGCCGAGTGGGCCGCTATTTATGCATCAATCTGTCACTTCTCGTCAGCACCTTGGCATCTAACGCTGCTAGCATATGCGCTTGCCGAATGCTCTGTCCAGTGAAGAGGCGGAGACCATCTGCCAGCAGATATTGCTCGCACAGGTACATCCTCTGTGCGGATGGTTGCTGTCGGAGATGGGCATGCACTCGTGCTCAGGTAGCTGCTCGGTGGAGACCTTCCCCGATCTCCAGTGGAAGAATCGATCAAAGTAAAACAAGGGTAGTCTGCATTGGCACTGTAAACTACAGTATAGTATTATTGTTCAAAGTTGTCGTTGCGTTGTTTGGGTTCGCTGGGAAATGGGGGACACTGCCGAACGATTTATGCTGTTCGAAAGTAAATACTGTATATCAAACAATATCGGCTTCCCCCCCCGGGTTGGGTTTTCGTCGCTTGGCAACGACGTTGTAAAACAAGCCGCCCCCCCCGGTGTTTGCCATCGGGGTTTGGGTTTTCGTCGCTTGGCAACGACGTTGTAAAACAAGCCCCCCACTCAGTGTTTGCCATCGGGATTAGGTTTTCGTCGCTTGGCAACGACGTTGTAAAACAAGCCAATTCACTTCGTGAACTCGGCAACCAGGTTACCGGTTTTTTTTTTTACCTCGGTTTTTTTTTTGGCGGTAACCATAATGGTGGTCGAGTAGATCATGTTGTGCGGGGTCGAGAAACCTCACTCCGCGCAACGGGGGATGATCGCACCACGTTGTGTTAAAATGGTCAAGCATCCTCGAGGCAGTTACACAGTGCTTACAACTGTCTCTGGAAGTGAAAGCACCAGAAAATAAATTATGTCATACGTAGCTGTCATCCGTACGCAAGGAAGTAAGCACAAGATGCCGAACACCCTTAGCAGGATGCAGCTCACCCTTCATGCGACTCGCCAAATACCTCACGGCGCTTCGCGCTTGGTGATGTGAGAGCCTGGTCCGGTGAGAACCCGGCGTGCTCCGTCCCGGCTTTGTAGGGATGCGAGGTCAATGGTCAAACGACTACGGCATGCACGACTATGAGTACACCCTCCCCCCCCCTGCAAGCGTGTTCCAGCCCACATCGTTGACAGAGATAAGTCACAAACCGTAAGTACAAAGACCTCATTCTCTCTTGCTGGTGACCCAAGCCAACAATTTTTTTGTGTGTTCATTATAAATTGCCCTGCTCATGCAGGGCTGCCTCTAATCCGAGGTCTGCTCTCCTTTGAACGTGCGTGTGAGTGGTTGGTTACGACGAACGAGAGTGTTTGTTGTCCAAGTCCATCGAACGGAACAAGACTTGCGCGAACAGTCGGCGCGCGACTTTTTTAACAGGCTTTTGCCGAAAGTGCTTACTTGCGGAACTCCCTGAGACTCAAAGTGGTCATGCATAATCGTGCTTCTCAATCAACACTTTCGCACACCCACCCACTTGCTTGATTGACGTGTTGTCAGCTCGGCTTTTTCAATACTTGCTACCTATCTATCGTTACTTACATAATCAGAACATCACCAGTAAGGTATGAGGTACACTAGTCTTTAAGTGTTTACACGAGACATGCTGCTGCTGTAGTCTATCTAAAATAGTGCGCGTCTCGTTTTCCCTGCCCTGTCTTTGGAGGCTGGCTAGGGATGCATAATATGTTCCTTGGATAACGTGTGCTGCTGTGCAAAGACGTGCATCATGTAGAGTTTAGTATGTTACAGCAGGTCTTCAATGCATAAACATATCCGCGCCGGAGCTGCTGGGTAAAATTAGACTATGTCCAGCAGAAGTATGTCCTGCACTGTAGTACAGCAGCATGCATGTACAGCAGTAGGCAAGTCCATCGATACACGTAGAGCGATCTACAGCAGCAGTATTACATATATTGCAGGCGGGGCAGAGGGACTAAACTGCATGTGTACAACCGTATCTATATACGACTCTGCTGTTGTGGGCCCGGTTGGATATCGCAAAATGCAAGGAAGACCACCGGGAGTCCAGTGCATGCAGCAGCACCAATCACAGCGGTCATGTGGAGTGGAGAACGGGTGCTTTGTGTGCCATGATGTGCCATGATGTGCCATGGATTTGAATTTTATTATTTGCGTTCATCTACGGAGAGAGACGAAAAAGCCTTGGTGTGCTATGCGTACAATTATTGGAGAGTGTACACGATACGCAACAATAGAGAGAAGTGTAACACACACAGGTACGGTAGAGCCGACTAAAGCGCGGCCAGCGTACGAACCCTGTATCACAAGATGATTGTTTGTGGGAGGGTGACGCGATGGGCATGACGTATGCCTCTCCGAACCGTTGGAGCCAAAGTAGTTTAAAACAAAAGAGGAGGCAAAAAGAGGGCTGCTGGCACCGATATACATCTGACACACAGGTTTTAACCGCCATGGGCATCAATAGCCAAAGCGGAGGGCATGCATAGGTCGGCCTTCAAAAGCTCGTTTTCGTGAGCTGCATACTTTCCGAGCTGGCAGCGGAATGGGCGTGCAGGGGTAGTTGAAGCGCGTAGGGTGCGCGAGCCGCCAGTGAGAGCACAGCACGCGCTGCAGGGGGGGCAGTGATAGCAGGAAACACCTCCTCCCGGGGCATGCGTTGCAGTTTACGTCTCCCCCTTGAACAAACCCTGCTTATTTGTCATGATCCGACGTGCGGGGTGTACAAGGCGTAAGCAGCGCGTAGGGTGTAGTCCCAGCTGCACGTTGATGCAAGTTTTGTCGAAGGGCGATGTGTACAGGTCGAAATCTTGCGGTATGATCGTTTTGTGCCAAACGAGGTCAGCGTAGGGACGACGAAATACTGTCGCGGGCGGCGTGCAGATCGGACGGCGTTGAAACTTGGCACACAGTTCTGCCTACTGGGCCATCGTTGACTCTCAAAGTTTGGTCGACGTCGGTGGGCAGACTAGAGAGCTGTCCATGCGGAAAAAAAATCGGGTGCTGTGACAGGCGGCGCAATCGGACGCGAAAAGCAGCCGAAAGGGTGTTCGTTGCCTTGTTCGCTCGCCTCGCCACTGTCCTTGCGGAGACCTGTGCAGCAAGCCTATTTTGTCCTAGCGCATCGAGCCGCGGCCAGCATGGGGCTGTATCTTGCTTGTTGCGGAGAACGCCGTTTGTACTTACTCGCTGCGCTGCTTGCGACGCGAGGTGAAGCGCTCGGCGTGCTGGCGAGGGCTGGGGTATGTGCAGGCAGGGCCGCGAACATCGTCGTCGTGGCGTTGTTGTGGCGTTGTTGAGCTCAGAGAACCCAGCTGGGGAGAAGAAGAGAAAAATGATGCCACACAATAAAGACGCCAAAGGGATGCTGGTGAAGGCAAAATGCTTGCGTTTGGCACCGGTTTCACTTCGATTGAAATTCCTTCGACAGGGCCCTCGACGCGTAGGTCGTGCGAGGCACCGCCGCGATTTCGTGGTCGCACATAGCTTTCGCGAGCAAATCGGCAGCGGTCAAAATTTTCCGTTCAAAAACCGGTGCCGCGAAATCATTTAAGTGTTTGTTTTTCCGTAGCTAAACCAATACTATTCGGATTGGAATACTATTTATTACACGAACCCCAATTGTTGTGAAATATGGTGTATTATATGGTGGGGATGGATACGAGGGAGGGGAAAACAAAGGATATTTGCCCCGAGGGCCAAATAGGTGTGCTATCGTGCGATCGAGTGGGGCATAACCTCTCGTGGTGCTGTAAATCGGTTTTAATCGTTTCTAAAGTGGGGTTTGAACATTTTTTTCGGCTGTCTTCACCGCCGTGGGCGTGCCAATCTTACGATCACAGCGCCCCTGTCTCCAAGGGCGAGACGAGTTACAGCACCGTGAAGTACGACTAAATCTCCTGCATCCGGGCGCGTCTACGCAAGGGACTGTCACCTCTAAAGAAAAACGCATCTCATTGGACAAGATTTCGGAGAATCCCGCGTGGTCTTTCCTACAGTACATGCAGATATTGACAGACTGCTGTCCGTATGTG